GTTGAATTGAAGGTCACATAAATAAGGATTTATTGAGATCGAATTATTCTATTGCAAGTGAATAATTCATCAGCGTTATTTCTTTGCTTATTTTGCCAAAATTGGCTGCGAAAAACGAATTATTATTTTATTATTTCACTTTTATTAATGATTGAACCAAACGAAATCAAAACTTTATTTTTTTCATATTTCGTAGCGCCCCTTTAAGATACAAAATCTAATCAACTACAAGTCATAGAGGAATGATACCTCTTTGATAACAACAAAGGAACTTAAAAAAAAGTTTGTAACCTCTACCTATATTTTACAGATGAATGATTATGATAAAAATTGTGTTAAGGTCCAGATGAAAGCAACAACAAGTAAAAGAGGAATAGTATTTGTTACTGTGCACTTCTTGTATATTTATGAATGTCCGCACACAAATTTTGTCACCTCAACACAAAAAAAAAAAAAAACAAAAAAAAAAAAAAAACTCGCCACTCGTTATGATGTGCCTTAGTGGAGATTTATTGCTGTACTGTGAATTCTTCACGTTGTTGTTATTTGCATTCTAATTCTTTTCACATACAAGCTTGTCTTGTTGCGATAGTCTGGGTATTTCAAAATGTTTTCCATATCCCATGTCAGGATCTTTGTCAGAAGTTGAAAATTTCATATCTGTATATTTCTCGTTATCTAGAAACTTTACTTTGATGGTGGATCTTGTTTGTTTCTATGAGGCTTCTTTCTCCTGTATATGTTTCACTCACGGGGTAATAATCGGAAAATTGTCGAAACTTATTGGATTTCTATATATTACATAGTCCGGATTATATACTTAAAAAGATTATCATTCCGATAAAATAGTTATTTTGCACTCAAACCCTCAGTTCTATTCCTTTTTCATAAACAATATTGCAAATCTTATATGTTTTAGTAAAATTCTATTTTGAATGACATTGCTGACCAACATAAATTAATTTGTTTCCAAAATGCAATACATAGTTTACTTCTGACAGATATTTGGTTCTCCTTGAAAAATACTGGGTCATGATATATCTAAATGGCTGTCCCGAGTTATCTGAAGATGTTTATTTGGGGTTAAATGATCAGAAATGTACAGAAATATTTTTGTTTTTAAATACTTAAAGTATAAACATATTAAGTTGTGAATAAGATGATACTGATCATTGAAATATGATTAAAGGCGTTAAAATTTCCCCTGTCGTAAAACGATTTCGTGATAAATTGGTCCTACTTCTTAATATCCTTATTTCAATCAGGGGCCTAGTTTTCGAAAGTATCTTATGACTAAGACATGTCTTATGATGGTCTTAAGACATGTCATAGTCGTAAGATATGTTTTCGAAAATGTCCCAAGTTATGATATGTCATAACTTATAACTTAAGACACCTCGCGACATGACTTATGATGGTCTTATGATTATCAAATCAAATTTTAATCACTTTTCATATATAATTTCATGTTCATTACAATAAGAATAATACTTGTGTTGCTCAGTCTGCTAAATAGTCGAGATTTGTTCTTCTCCACTTTGTCAATTAAAATTTGAATCTCCTGCGACGTAAAATTTTGACTCCTTTTCTACATGATTTTGTATCATGAAAATATGTAATTTATTTCATTCTCTATATAGTACTTTATCAATGTATTTGCACGGATATTTCGTTAAGCAAGTACTCGATGTACCGAATCAGATTTATCATATACAAACTTAATTTAATCAAATAATCATCTCAGATTTTAATTCCTTTTCATATATATTTTCATGTTTATTATAATAAAAAAAATAATTATGCGTAAATATTAAGAACGGTAAATTTTTATGTTCATACTTATTATTTTTATATTTATTGTTTATCATTTTTTTTTATCATTATTTAAAATCAAACAAGATATTCTGTTCACTTATGACAGTTATACGTGCACCATAGGTATGACTATCTTAGCTTTGATTTATATTATATGAAATGTCATATGATAGTCATAAGATGGTCATAAAATTTGTCCTAAGATATATATATATTATGACATATCTTAGGATACTTTCGAAAACCAAGACCCTGATTATTACAGTAATGTCCCAATCCGATCCGACAAGTCTTTTCATTCCCCCCTCCCCCTATAACTTATTTTTCGCGAAAAAGCAGAAAATTGTCGGTCTTACTGTCTTTAAAAGACTTGTAAGAAAAATAATCAAACGCATTATAGTATAGCGAATCAAGCAACATTCAATACAAAATAGAATACTGTATAAAACACAAAAAAAAAAAAAAAAATCAATATATAAAAAAATGTTACAGAATACCTTATTGTAAAGATAACAATACAAAACATAAAATGTTCAATAGACATCATAGTATACACTTTAATTTTTAATTATCTTACAAACATAGGACAGTTAAAGTTTAAGTTCTATAATTAATAATGAAAGAAACAACATGTGAAAACGTTACTTTACATTGAATCAGAAAATTTTCAACTTCATTCAAGTTCTAAATTTCATCGATCTTTATGCATTTATTTAAAAAGCTGAATTTGCGTCGCGTTTTTTTATTCCTCGATATTTATATATATAACAGACAAACAAAACAAGTCCAGAACAACATAGCAATGTGAATCAGATAATGATAAGGTAAGACTATTACTCTCAATATGTCTACGTTTGTCTATATTGTTCTGCATTGTATTTGCTATCTTCCTCTGTACGATTTTTTTTTCTTGGCGGTTATGACTTGTCTATAGATAAGCAAGATGAACGTCTATAGTGGAGCAGGAATTGCTGGTTCTTCCAGAGAACCTGGATCACCCGGTTTAATTCGGATCTATTCCTGCTGCTGAATCTTTTATTAGTTTTATATGTGGCATTGTTGACTGTTGTTTGTATTGTTTTGTAGTAGTATTGTCTATTTTTGGTTAGTTCTTTTTACAATTTTGGTATTGTATGTCTTTGTTTGTATACTATTCAAAAACTGGCTATAGTGTGAAACATGCCGTTTAGTGACGAGTTTTTGATGGGTTGAAAGAAAATCACAAACATTATATCATTTACAACGTTATAGGCAAAATATAGTTTTTGACATATATGCTCCTAACATAGGAATCCTGTTACTGATATAAATTTTAAGAAAATAGCCATATCTTAGTGTTTTTTTGAATATTCAGATCTACAGAGATGTCGTATCAATAATATTTCATGTGACCACATTATGGTAACTAGGAAGTAAAGCCATTTTAAATTCTTCATTCCGAGATCAAAATTAATAAGCTGGCGAAGCATAATTACATTTCAATATTATAGTAAAAAAAAAATGGATCTTGATTTTTTTAAGAAATAACTTTGAAATTAATGTCGTTGGTATGTCATTTAGACAAAAAGTGTTATTGAATTGAATTTTCAGACATGATTTTTAATTTGGTTTAATGTTCAGAAATGCGACATAAGTTTGTTAGAAAATCAAATTACACACATTAAGTTGAATAATTGTGACTAAAAAGGTATGGCAATGGATACTTGATTTCATTCAACATAGTATCTTTTATTATATGTCTTCGTAACTACTTAATGTCTGCCTAGGAAGAAAATTGTCAGCAAAAATAATGGAAGTGGCTAAAATATGAAAATAAATTGACGCGTTAAGTTAGTCACCTGTGTACCTGCAGCCTGTCTAAGTCAGAAAGCTAGTTGTCAGGTTGACAACATTATACACAAACACGTTTCCATTCTCATTAGCAACTAAAACTTTATTGTTCGAACGGTCGTACTGCAAAGCCGATAGATGAAATAGTCCTTCCTTCCCAGATAATAGTTCTCTATGGCGTCTGTCATCTGGGAGATAACAATCTGTGTTTTTTTTTACATTAAAATCTCCGGGTAACGAACGTTCAATACCTTCTGAATAAAGTTCATAGACGAGACAACCTGTATTTAACAAAAAGATTTATAAAAGGTCTCCTTGTCGACTTTTCCCTTTTATCATAGAGGCAGACTTCATACAGTAGCTTCTCAGAAAGAATGAAAAGAAACTACGCTATCGTTTAACATTACGTTCCGTCATATAGATGATGTTCTGTCACTAAATCATTCCATGTTCGAAGATTTTGTTGACAGCACGTATTCCGTTGAACTTGAAATATACTTGAATTTAACAGACACAAGTTGTTTCCTTTTTCCTTTTTCCTTGTTCGATATTCAAATTTTGAAAAAAGTCTTGAATTTACTGTTTGTCTATCCCATGTTTTGATTTACATCCCGAAATTGATAATAAAGGTCGAAGAATAAAAGCTTCAGGAGTACTTGGATCATCACTGTTTTATTTTTGATATATTTTTGTGTTTCATTTGTTTTGTTGATTGGTTTTTAAATCAGTCTTTTCCAAATTGGGTTGATAATCTTCGACTTATGTTTCTTTTGCCTGTTTGATATAAATTCATGTCTTTTATTCCAGGGATTGTATTTCCTATCATGATTATCTTGATAGAGGGTTGCTGCTCACAAGGAAGCTATTAAACTAAGATTTCCAAGTGGTGAAGTTGAAATCATCAATTCCTGAATTTTACGGAAGCCACCGCGATTTGGTTTACCGTTGTCAAATATCTGTTTCACAGATCACGATGGATATGATCAAATTACAATACCCCCTTTTCCCCGAATGTTACCTACCGAACTAGACTTATCACCGGGTTTGTTCTTACATGTGCAACACGAGACATATGTGGAGCAGGATCTGCGTATCTTTCCTGAGCACCTTAGATCTCTCTCGGTTTTTGGTGGGTTTCGTGTTGTTCAGTCTTTAGTTTTTCTCTAGTGTGATTTTTGTACTGTTGTTTGTCTTTTCGTCATTTTTCTTTTTTTGCAATGGCGTTGTCAGTTTATTTTCGACTATGAGTTTGAATGTCCTTTTGGTATCTTTCGCCTCTGTTTTATAAGGGAGCATATTCTAATACGCTGAATTTCTTTCATTATTACTAAGTAATATAGGAACAAAATTTACTCTACATGTACTTTATCGACTGACAGAGAATCCATAATCAATAATACGAGGTTTCAAAAATGGAAAAGACGGTATTAAACAAAGCTTATTGTCATACAACATCAAACACGAAAGCGGTTTCCTTATTATTGGCAACTAAAAGTTTATTGTTCGATCGGTCGTACTCCAAAGATACTGGATGGTACAGTCCGTCTTTCTCCGATAATAATTGTCTATAACGTTGACCATCTGTAGAGATAACGACCACATTGTGAGAATGTGTTCCGGCAACATATACATTCCCAGCATTATCGACAGATATACCGAAGGGAAAGGTCAGAGCACTGCTTTTGCTGAATGTCCATAGTGTTTACCATGGAAATCACAACAGGTAACATTGTCATTGATAACGTTTGTGTAAAACAGCTTGTCACCGTGAGTAGCTACATTAGCTTGTTCTGACATTTTACTAGTGCTAATACTGGTTATAGATTCATCACCAAGACTGACCATCTTTATTCCCTTCTCTCCAGCACAGTACATCAACTTTCCATCTTTGAATACTACTCCGTAGTTGGCGGAATTGACCTTCAATGTTTTCTTCACTTTTCTGTTTTTAACATCGATTATATTGATCTGTTTTGAACCTACAGTTCCACCCGATGTAACAGCTACAGAATTATCTCCAATATATACCACATCCAAAACAGGCCCAATTTTGTTCAGATCAAAATCATATGAACCATTCGGCTTTAAAACCCGTACTTGATCGCTAGTACAACATGAGAAAATCATTTTACCATCAGGAAGGAAGGTACATCCACAAACGTTTGGCAGTTTTGTTTGTATTGTTTGTTTTACCTTGAGACTTACATTATCGAAATGGTTTGTTGAAGGAGGTACAATTATCTTAGCTTGTTTATTTCTTCTTTTCTGGATGTATATATTACACGCAGTGAAACTCGCAATAACTTCTCCAAACGTCTTCGTTGTAGTGGCCAATTCCTGCAATGCTGTGTTCATCGTATACGATATATCGATTTGGTGCAATTGTTCGCTTTTGCAGATTGATTGAATATAAATCTCTTCTTTGATAATATCTTTTTCAACGTGTTTCATTGCAATGAATGATTGCAGGTTAGAGGCATATCGCTTTGTATTTTCAACGCTATCTTTGTATTCCAAAATCTCCTTTTCTCTCTGCATTAATGACGTCAGTAGTTGTCGAATTTTGTTACTTTCTTTTTCTTCCACCGTTTTAATTTCCTTCAATATCTTATCTTGAAGTTCATCAAGATAGTCATTAATTTTGTTTCGAAATTGCCGAATTTCCAATTCAACAATCTTTCTCTTCTCTGCAAGTGATGTCAAATTTTCCTCCCGATTTATACGCACTCTTTTGATATTCTCAGCGGTTTCTGACAAGGCGTGTTCCATTTCCTGAAACGCAGCTGAAGATTTCACATTGTGTATCATGGTTCTGATATCAGTTAAATCATTACATCTGTTATGATCCTCTACACATTTCCTACAGCATGGACAATCGTGTTTCCTACAGAAAAGTTCGTATTTTTCGTTATGCTTGTTACAAAATTGCGCTATTTGTAAAATTTTCGCTGGTAGCTTCATATATTCCCCAATGAGAACTATTTCATGATTCCTTGTTGCCTTGGAAAAACTGTGATGTTCCTTACAATCTTCACAAAGTCCTTCATCACATTCTGAACACCAGACTACCGATGGTTTGGTAACATGGCGATGCTCACAGACACCACACACACTCGGGTTACTGGCCATGATTCTGTAATGTAATATTAAGTATATACTCGATTATTATTGAAAGCTGTTTGATTGATTCATTTTTTTCAATTTGATTTATATTTCAGTCTGACTACTTAAGTTTTTATCCGAACCTGTACCTACGTTAACTATGGAGCAGGGAGATTCAGATATTACGGATGTATATTTGTGTGTAATATTTAGAAAACAAATTCCTCTTGACACTAGAAATAAACATTTTTCAAGTGAAAAACAATTTTCTACATTATTGCTAAGATAAACTTACAGATTCAGTTCGTTTTGAATTATTCTCAATTACTGATGTGTCCTAGTATTTTTACCAAGCTGAATTAATACTCCATGCCACACAGATAGTCATTAATGGACAAAGAAAGACAACCGATCGCTTCAGTTTACCAATAACTATTTTCATTACCTAGCACTGGGTCGATAAAACTATTTGTGGACAGGCTAGTCACCGAGGGAACCAAAAGCTCTGTAATCAGTATTTCTATATTGTCATGATTTATACATACCTTTTTTAGTTATCTGTTGATACAACTAGAAGTTATTAAGAAGATAAGGATCCAACTCTCTAGATAAAACCTTTGATTGATTTGGCTATTCACAAACTCTGGCCCCTTATTGCAGATTATACCTACGATGTTATAAATTCGCATTCACAGGAAAACTACAAAACTTTCGAGCAGCAAAACAAAACATATCTTGATAGATCCTTTTTTTAGATATAAGATAATATGCAGATGCTAGATCCTCTGTTAAAGAATACATTTTCCAAAATATACAATTGAAATTTATCCACATCAAATCATTTTCAATAATTAAGCGACCAATATTCCCTATTAAGACATTGACACTAGATCGCACATGTATATCCAAAACGAAAACAATTTTTAATTTCATAATGTCAATTTTTCTTTCCTCTGATTTTGATAGTTCTTTTATTCTTTTGCATTGATTGATGATTTACCAATTGGATCAAATTCGATGAATGTAATATGGCATTACTAAAACAAATTTACTGTTTGGCTATATAGATATCAATTTTTTTAAAAAACTACTACAAAGTTTCATCCATTTTATGAGGTAATCGAGTGGATAATTATATTGACCGTGAGAGTAACTGGTCAGGAGTTCATTACGAAGTTCGAACATAAGTTTATATCAAGGGAGTTCCCATTGTGGCGTATCCCAAAGTGATAGTCTGTGATTTGGTGTTACTGAATGTTCATGTCATTGGCAATTGAATAGCTGTTGTGATAATAAATTGTAGCTATTACTGTGGATATCTAATGGATAAAAAAGCCCAATAATTTCGGTTATTTTTTATCAAGTTCTTCTTAGAATGGAATGTATCAACACCATATATGAGATTTAGAAAGGTGATAATTGATATTCGAAAACTTAGCACGACTTGTAATATACAGCATTTGATTTTGTAAGAAAAAAAATCTATTATTTCAAAGTACAGATACGAGATAATAGACAATATGCATGTAAGCGGAATTATACTATAAGTAATCGAAATGTGACCGGAAAGAAAAAGATATTAAATGGACAATAAGTTAATGTTGTTTATGTCGATTTCAGGAAATGTTCCATACATTTCCTGAATTCGACATTAACAACATTAAATTATTGTCCGTTGTTCAACTATCGCAATATTGAATGTTGGCAGAGATTTCTGAATTTAAGTATCAGTTTATATGATATACGAAGATTATTGTTCGCAAGGCATTATATGCTACCCTTCTAGAATACCTTATTATATAAACGGTTTGTTTTATTGTTGTTGAATTGCGTATAATTATTTTATATCTTTTTCTTTGTCGTACTTCTGGAAAATAAAATCCTGTTAGGCAGTGTCAAACATTGCATATTGAAATGAGAAGATGCGGTATAAGTGCCAACGAGACAACTCTCCGTCCAAGTCACAATGTGTAAAAAGTAAACATTTATAGGTCAAAGTACGGCCTTCAACACGGAACCTTGTGTCTGCAAAATGCCAAAAAGAAAAAAAAAATCAGAAAAATTACTTAATATAAAGTTTTATCATACATGTTTTAATAGGATAAACTAACATCACCTGGATAAATTTGACAATATGTGTTTAATTAATACTTCCATAAATGTTTTGCAAAAATATATGGTTTCGAAAGTATCTTTGAGTTCTATGTTTATGAAAAATGACACTTTCCGATTTTATTTTCCAATGCAAAAAATCTCGGGTAGTTCTGATTTTATTTTCCAATGCAAAAAATCTCGGGTATTTCAAAATAACCTTTTCAAAACAAGCTAGCTACAAAAATATGACCAATCGTATCTGCTTGTTGATATGTCAATTGCAAAAAAATGCCAATAACATAAACTTATATACAATATGTACAAGTATATCGATCGTTATTCTATCAACTTATTCTAAAAGAACAATAGAAATCAAAGAATATTCCAGCACATCACGCAGGTATAAAACAGTGGAAGAATATTTAAATTCAGATAACGTTTATTTTTTAATCGACACACATTTATGGTAACTAGAATTTGCACTCAGACTATAACTAGATATTGAACACAAATTCAAATCGGAGCTTGAAGTATAACTCGATGGTAAGACACACTCGAAAAACCATCTCAAAGGAAGTAGATGGAAAAAAGAAAACGAAATATGTCCCTTTCATACTGTCAACATACGCGTTATAGAAGGGCAAACGGTAAAAACTATTGAAATTAATAGATATGGTACGATCAAATTGTGAAACAGGTAATCGCAAAGTATTTTATAAATTTTATTACGGAAAATAAGACGTTTTCGGTTAAAAATAGTACGTTAAACGAATAGAAAGATATAGAAAATTGTCATGCTATAGATTCTCACGTGGAATTGCCAGTTAAAAGCATTACATACCTCAAATTTTCTGATGCGTGTTCACCAACACTATAAATAGACCAGGGATGTAATTTGTCATGTGATTATATTTACACTACATATATTATGTTGGGTGGCGGTTATTTTCAAACTTACTTTTCGACTCAACAATTTTACAACATTCAGAAATAATTTGGTTATTGTGATCAAATTTGTTTTAATTGTACATGCTATACCGAATTTGGTCTGTTTACTAATTTTGGTCTACTAAATATTATTTTATCTAATTTTAATGGGATGTATTTTAATTTCAGATCTCTAAGGCAAGCATCTGGTTATTTCAAATACTTGCATTTTCATTAATTACCTCTAATAGAAAACACATCGAATGTACATTTAACGACACATTATACGAGAATTACAGCTTCATAAAGAGGTTAGCAATATTGATATACGATATACTATAAGCAAACACACATTATTACGTATATAGTTGTAATTGTTATATATAACTATATACATAATATATACGATATAATTGTAATAGTTATAATCTAAATAAGCACTCAATTAAACGGTAACAACTTTGTTCTACGGCAAATCTTTCCATGCCATTCAAGGAGCTGGGATTATCATGAAGACACAGACAAATGTTAACAGAATGTGTTGTGTTTTGTCTAGTTTGGAAGCTGTCTGATTAACGCATTCCCAATATCGCCTTTTACTCATATATGATAAGGTAAAAAAAAAATAAGCACTATGACAAACGCTTGGAAAATCTAAATGATTCAATTACTCCATAGAGAAAGGAAAATGTGCTGCGATTTGTGTAATTTTCGTCAACTTATCAAACCAACTGTAACATGTGTAATAATATAGCTGCATAACCCATGAAACGGAAATTTTGTAACAAGAATCACAATTGTTTTCAAGTACCTAAATTTAACATTTAATTCAGAAATGTGTTTTGATTAACTTTTGATCGGGTTATTATGTGCCAAAAAAAATTTTTTTTCCAAGGAAGGCATTTCGTCATATGATAATATTAACATAACATATCTTATGTCGTGGCGGTATTTCTGTATTATTATCCGATTTAACAAGTAACAAAAAATAATAATACACATTTTTATTGTAATCAAATTTTACGATATCATAACTCCGGAGTAAATACACTGACACATGTATGTACATATCTTATCATTGAACTGATAATGTCCGTCATTCATTATCTAAAGTAAGTGTATTTTATCTAATTTTAGAAAACGTAGAGTGTTATCATTTAGAACATCTGGACTTTTTAAACACATGCATTTTCATTAATGACAGCTTTGACAAAACACATCGACTTGTACATGTAATGATTCATTACACGGGTATTTAAACGGATTAAATAACATTTATATATACTATATCTAAGCAAACATACATCTTTATGTATATAGCTGTAGTATCTATATATATATTTAACCTAATATGCACTCAATGGTATATTTTAATCTAAGGTCCACGATAACAAATTAAGTTTACGATAAATCTTTCTAAGTCATTCAACGAGCTATGATTTACCTAAACACAAAGACAAAGCTTAACAGAATATGTTGTGTTTTGTACAGTTTAGATGCTATATCATTAACACATTTCAAATATCTTCTTTCATTTATATAGATTCAACTAAAAAAGTGAGCAAAATGACAAACTTCCGGACAATTTAAATGATTCAATAGCTCAAGTGAGAATGGCAATTTGGCTGCAATTGTAATGGTAATCTGACTAATGGTTGCAACCATCAAAGTTCTATTGTTCTTAAATCAATTTACTGAATACATAAGGTAAAAAGGTAATAAGAGGTATTGGAAAAAAGGGTATTGCACTAAAGAGACAAGGCTAAGTACAAATTTCGCCAAAGGAACTTTGTATAACTCACTAGCGACATGTTTTCACGAGCTTAGATCTATAGATAGCAGCATAGTCATCTTATGTAATTTTATCGCCCGTGTTCTATTCCTGAATATGGCATCGCTACTGTCTGTTAGATTAGGTTAAAGCAAATGGTCTTTGATACAAAATAGAATACACAAGGTGACACACTGTAAAAATATTCGACCTAAGTCCGTATTCAGAGACAAAGAAGCTGTGAAATGTCTGTGCTTTCTCCACAATAAATATGTTGTTCATGCAGACAAAGCTTGAAACGATAATATATTGTCTGTAAATCCTAATACTACGAGTGTCTTATCAAATAATTAGGAATAAATAAACACGCGGGTATACCCACATACAAAAACGTAACTTTCGAGGACTTACCTTGTTAGTATTTGATACATGAACTTCACAAGGCTCCATAAAAGCAACGGTACATTGCCGGCTCATCTACATGTTTTACATAAGAATTGTCTGTTCGATTGGCCAACATTTTGTCCGCAGTGAAATAGGATTACAGAAGTACTGTGATACTGTTCACCGCATGTTGATTCTTAAGAACTCGAAAGAACTTCTGAAAAATGTTCAATCTCGGTCATTCTCTGAAATACATTCTATCAAGACTCTCGACTATTACACCCTTTACACCATTATACCACATAAAAATTGAAAACCCGTCTAAAAAATATATTCCACAAATGCTTTTCTCCACCAAAATAGTACGCTAAAAACTTATTGATTTGTGATATAGTTCGGCATATTGTGTTAAATATATGAGCCAAATAAGATATGCTACATCGAAGAACAAATGATGAGTATGATAGAGTTCCTCATTGACAATACATTTGATGAATTTGGAGGTATACTTTTTCTGCATAGTGGTCTGGATGTCTATCTGAACCAATTGATAAACCTCAAATTCGACTACAGCGGTCATCTTAGTACCAGAATCTCTGAAAAACGAACATATTTCGATTTTGAATACAATACTCAAGAATGCAACTGCTACTCATTGTTTGTAAAACGTCATCTGTGTCTTAGAAAAAATTTAATGAGCCATGGTTTTGTCAAAGAACGTCTGTCTTTTTTTTTTTATCAAAAAGTTCATCGGAAAGTACCAAGACCTAATACATATAGATATATGTTCAGTGTCTACTACACTACTACACAAATGATACAATATTGTATTGAGTTATAGATTCTAGATGCTGAAGTTGTGAATCTTTATTTTCACTTGTTAATAATTTTTCAGTATTCCCTTTTTTTTTGTGTTAGCTATTGTGTCCTTTTGGTCGCTTTTTGCTTTTGGCGTTCAGTGATCAAGGTGGTCCCAAAGGTGCGCTTCTGATGAAAGAGGTTTTAACTTGTTTTTTTTTAACCCTTGTTTTTATAGTTTACTAAATTTGAACTTTATCGGGAAAGTGCATACTAGTGCGGCATGGCGTTGTATGTACTATCAAATACCAAAAATATTGTGTTGGATGTCTGTGATGTATGTTTACACAGTTTTGGCTGGTGGATCCAAATTATTGTCACAAGAACCAATTATGTTTGTTTGGGTTGCTCACCAGATTTTGTCAATATAACGGAAATATAAACAACTGTGATTCAAATGGGAGTTTTAGCTAGCTATAAAACTTTTTTTAACCCACCATTTTCTTCTGAAAATGCCTGTACCAAATTGGTCTTGTTTGTTGATATAGAAAACGTTTGATTTTGTCAGTTTTTATTGACTCCCCACTATTGGAATTGACCTTGGAGGTCGAAAAGAACTGACGTTGGCATTCCTTGATCGTTTTGATTATACTCTGTGATGTACAGTAGACTAAAAAATCAATCTGCAACAAGTCTTCTGCTTAAACGTTAATATGAATCAGATAATTCTTAGTAAACACTGGTGCTTATATTTTTCAAACCACAAACTATAAGAAAAAAATAATATTTAGGTTTCTCAAATAGTTTTCTGCATTTTATTTCTTATATGTCACTAAGAGAATTTTTCATCGACGGATATGACTCAGCACTAGATTTTAGCTTAATTAGCAAGATGGGTATTGCTAGTGGAGCAGTAACTGGAGACACTTCCGGAGACTCTAACGTTTGTTTATTTTGCCTCGTTTGTAATGCATTGTCTTGTCTTGAACTGGTTACTAGGTGTTAAAACCATGAAAATTAATTATAAAATTTTATTTTAAAACAATCAAGAATTTATTCATATTTGCATTGTCAAAGGCGACATAGTGATTCTAACATTAATTTAGCGGCACACCAACAAATACAAATGTAAAGAGAAAAGCCATATCCGATTACACATCAATATTTAAAAACTGATATGTGAGGTGTAAAATCTCATCAAAGTCAACTGGCTATTAATTTGGAAACCATGCGCGCTTTTGTGTGTACATTAGAATTATCCATAGCTCGAACCAAAACAGTATGAAACCCAAATCAAATACGAAGCAAAAGGTCAATGTAACCAAAAATTCAGAAATATTTTTTGAAAATCAGTTATAGGCCATTAAAACTTTTAAAAATCTTAAAAGTTTCGAATAACTCAAAACTCTATCAACAGGATGTGAAAATAACCCAAATAAATGTTGGTGTGTCCGATGCGCTCTTCTAGACATAACTCAACCAGGACGGCTCAAACCAACAAAAAATGAAAGTTATTGGTGGCGAAATATCTGAAGACACGAGGAGCTTTTTACCAATAAAGAAACATTAAAAGAAAAGCCAAATCCAGCCAAGGTTAACTTTGCTTAAGGGTGTTTAAGCATTAGTTTCTTTATAATTAAAATTAACAGAAAGAGGCCGTATCAATAAAATTCTATGTCAACGCATGAGGGTATACTAGTTGAATTGACACACACATGTCTCAACAAAATAAGTGATTGAAAATAATGAAAATGTTTCCAACAATTGTCGAATATGGATACAATATTACTCAATGATTTTAAATGATGACACAAATATTTTATTTATAGAGTAAATTGCATTAAATGGTATGTGCTTATTTCCAGGATAAAAAATTAGAAGTGTAATCATTTTACAACAATTTAAAAATTTTAGCCATAGAATCAAATAAATAAAAGTATTTCTTTTGCACTATTTTTATGCAATTATTCAATGTTTCTTGATCAGTTTGCATGTCTTTTTA